CGTGCCAGTTGAAATTAACATGCTACCATCTGTATAAATACGCCAGAGAGCTGTCACTGAGTCACATGTAAGTATTGCTTCAAACAGTATATCTAAGAATTCAGTCCAAAAAAATCTTAGTAATAATTAAACTGATATTTGAACTTGGTTTGTAGGCATGGTCTGAAGTACTTCTTCAATTTAACACAAGTTCATATATTTTATGGTGAATTAAACGTATTTTTAAAACACGTAATAAAGAAATAAAATGTTAGGACTTTTCATTTAGTTCAAATTAACTGGAATTTCAAATAATCCTTATTCATCTTAAGTGAGCCACACTGTACTTCCTATTTTATGAAAGTTAATCATGTTGTGTCTTTTTGTGAAAATTCAGTGCATTGCAATAACTCAAAGCAAAATCTATTTCAGGAATCATGGACTGCTTCCACAAATGTTGGACTTTCAATTTTAATGATGCATAGCTTGATAGAAAAGAATATTATGACTGACTTAGAAAAGATAATTCTGCTCACAAAGCATACTGCTTTCTTTGCAGGAAGCACATCAGTATTTCTACTATGGGGAATTTGGCATTAAAGAGCCACACAAATGGGAAAAAAACATTCCATACTTATCAATCTGAGCCAGCCTGCTATTACAATAGGCACCTTTTTAATTCAGAAGTCTTCTGCTACCAGTAAGGTAGATCTAGCAACTGAGTCTGTTAAGTGTTACTGAGGCAACAAGGGGAGCCATACTGACTGCTAATGCACCAACTTTTGAGTTTGACCAATTTGAACAGTTTCTCTGCAGATGTGCTTAAAGCAGAAATTTCGTTGACCCTAAAAGTAATCAAAAGCCACTACAGTTTTCACCCATGTGAAAACATTTCTGATCTTTTCATGCTAATTTTTCCAGACAGTTCCATTGCTAAGCAGTTTAGCTGTACAGAATGCAAAGTGGCATACCTTGCTACTTTTTGTATAGCTCCCCATGTATCTGCAAAAGTTGAACAGAAAATCAAAGGAAATTCATTTTTACTATTGTTTGATGAAAACCTAAATGAAGGTTTCTAGGAAAAATAGACATCCACATTTGCTTCTTCTGTGATGATGAGGTAAAAACATTTTATTATACATTTACATTTATTGGACATGGTTACTGCAAATGATATATACAAAGAGATATCCAGTTCCATCACAATCTTTGGCTTCAGACATCTCTTGCAACTTTCAATGGATGGGCCTAATGTGAACTTAAAGGTTTTAAAAGATTTTTCAAAGGAAATTGAACAGCAGTTCAATCACTAAAATTTTGAATGTTGGGACCTGTGGACTACATAAACTGCACAATGCCTTTTGGGCAGGATGTGTTGCAGCTGGTTGGGATGTGAAGGACATGATTTCCAGTATCTACATTCTATTACATGATGCTCCTGAAAGACAACAGGATTTTAAAGATGTAGATGTCTATACTTTGTTCTCTCCGAAGTTCTGCTGCACACAGTTTTGTATTAACTTTTCATCAATTGTCTTATCATACAACTTGCAATAAATGCAGATAAAATAGTATGCCCAAAATGTTTTTGTATTTTGTTTTATAATTACTTTTGTTTTCTGTTTATTTATTATGCTTAATATTTTTATTATGGAATGGGTATGTTTATAACAAGTTACTTAAATATAATCATTCATGACACATTTTGAGATATGTCAGTGTGAATGACTGTGTACTTAAGACAAGTACTTGCTACAGTTAACTTTACAGAATTTTTTTTTTTTCATAAACTGTAAATTATAATTGTGATTATTAATGATTTCATTACTCTACCATCACTTAATAACTATAAATATGTGATGATCACTTATAGAAATTAGAACTTTATATTGATTATTTTTGTTTTAATTTAAACAGTCCAACTAACTTGTTGTTTTTGAATATCTGAAGAATGTTGAACCATTAGAGAGAGTGACACAACTCCTTCCCTATACAGTCCTGCTGTAAAGACTAAAAAAGTCACTCAACCCACCTGCAAGTGTTATGGTGTCATTGAGAAGGCATCTCCTTGTGACTGCCAAACTACATTTTTTCATCACAGTATCAAGGGAGGTCCAACCTTTTCTTAAGGTTTGTAAGATTGACAAACCAGTGATTCCGTTCGTTGGTAAAGATCTTCGATTGTTAATCAAGAGTGTCTTGCAGAAAGTCCTAAAACTGGAGGTCATGAATATAGCAACCACTTTAGTAGCATTATCGCATTTGGAAATCATCGAGAAAGATAATTAACTTAATGATTCAAAAGTAGAGGTTGGTTTTTTGTAGATAAATTCTCAAGCTAAGGATGCCTCAGACAGACAAAAGTTTAAATTTAGAATGGGCTATAAAGCCTTTCTACTATCACTGACACGCAAGCTCATGGAGAAGTCCCCAATTACCTATCCCCTTGTGAGATCTTTGTCATGGATGGATCCAAGGCAGATGGCCAAGCAGTTGAAGAAAGCATCAAATACACTGAAATTGAACCAGACATTAAAAATCATTAAAGAAACAAACAGAGTTGAGGGTACAAAATGTGATGCTCTCAAAAAGAAGTTTCTAGAATTTCTTAATGAAATTATTTCTGGAAACAAGACTACTTTCTTGGACTTCAGTACACTGAAAGACAGAGTAGACAATCTCATCTTGCAGAGGGGAAAGGTATTCAGACCTTTGGGAAGTTGTTCAACAATTGCTGATTCTCTCCCATGGGCAAGTCACTGTTGAGTGTGGGTTCTCAATAAACAAAGATGTTACCATAGAGAATTTAGCTAAAGAGTCTGTCATAGTATGAAAAGTGATCATCAATCATGTGCATAAGGTTGGAGGGTGTAAGTAAAGTATCAGGAACCTTTACTCTCAGCTTCTTCAGCCAGGTCCAAGTACCATGACTATCTAGAAAAAGAAAGGGAGGAAATCAAGGCAGCAAAAAGGGGAAATAAATGGAAAAAAATTCAAGCAGAATGAAACCAATTGAAATCAAAGAGAGCAAGACTGGTTGAAGACATAGCCTCCAATTTGCTGCTAATAAGTTAGCTGATCAGACTGAACCACAGAGTCAGCTTACTTTGTTACCTCAGTCAAACACTTTGAGAAGAAAAGCAAAAAAAAAAAAAAAGAAATTATTTCTCTTGAAATCCTGATTTACCAGAAAACATAACAACTGAAAAGAGTGTTAGAAAATTCTTTAGTATTGTAAGAGTGTCTACTTACAATATTAAAAGAACACTAATTTCTGTTTTAAACTGAGTGTTAGAATATTTCGGTAGTGATAGTGTACTGAAATTGTAAGGATTGAATTCATACAAAGCTTACTTCTGAACTGAAATAGTGTTACTGGTAAAATTTTAAGTAGAAAAATTTATTTAAAAATTTGTATTTGACTACTACTGTTAAGTTTTATTTGAGTGTGTTGTGTATGTGCATGTGTGTGTGATGCCTGATGTTCTAATTTTGATATGTTAGTATTTTGTAGTTAATTAAGTGTTTATGATTTGAGAGTGAGTGTTAATGTGCTATTGTGCATGTTTATTTTATCTCACCATTTGTTGCAATAACACCCTTGTTGGTGCTGTGCCACTGACTTTGCTTTTTATAGATGTATTTTGAAGTAGGTATTTAGTGTCTCATTTATTCAGTAACAAATTAATCTATATGTTAATTTTTGTTTTTGATGCTTTGTGGTTTCCTGTTACAATCTGCAGTCATTCTTGAAAGAAAAAGGGTAATTTAGATTTATTTTCTAATTTTTTATGGTGGTTACAAGGTCAGTCAAATCAACCAACCCCATATGAAATTAAGGTAGAGAAAATAACAGATAAAAATATAAAGTTTTTCTATAACAAAAATGTATGATAGTTATTTAGAATATTATAAAGATTATGCAAATAAAATTTGACAATTTTCTAATGAAGAAATGTATTTTTAATGTTGGATAGTCAAACAAGAAAAAATAAATAAATTTGCAAGCAAATCTTGAATTTAAAAAAACTGATATTTTGTATGCAAAAGCTTTGTTTACTGATAATATTCAAAATTTCATGAAGATACATTTACATTATCAAAAGTTATAGTATGACTACTCTTATGGTTACTTTGATGGTTACATACTGGGTGCAATGCACCAAGCTCTATAGTCAAAGAAAAGTGTTAATGATTGATGTATGTTGAAATAAATGTGTACACTTTTATTCCTTATGAAACTGTAAAAATCCTTTGCTAAAAAGTACTTAGATTTTATGCAATGAACCTTTTGTCACTGTTTTATCTCTACAGCATCCTTAGTATAATTATCAGTTCTCATCTAAATTAAAGAGTTATGAAGGAATGGAAAAGTTTTTTTTGCTTTCCATTAACTCTTTGATACCCAAATAATTGCAGTCCATCTCAAGGGCAAAATTGCACCATTAAAATACGAAAATTATTGAAAATAAACTTGGTCCTTTTGAAAAATAAAATAATTTAGAGTTAAAGTTTATTCAACATAAAAAAAGTTTTATTTATGTAATTCAAATTTCAAACTATTTCATTCAGTAGGTTTTTTTTTTTTGCAATACAGTAAAACAAACCATACAGCAGGTGCATCATACAGTTAATCTCAATGTTGTAGTCTTTACAAGGGTTTATTTATTAATTTTCATGAAAAAAAATCACTGAGAATCCCTCAAAATGTTTAATTTTGATTGTGTTTAACTTAGTTACTTTAGGAGAATTGATTATAGAAATTAGTGTGACTGTCTTTTGTTTTGTTTGAAAGATAAATAATTGGAGATTTATTTTGATAATGGAAAGAACCAAAATGCTGATTGCTTACATCCAATTCAAATGAAATATGTTTTTTAGTATAAAATTAGAAGTTTGATTAATTTGGTACATTTTTGTCTGTTTGATAACTGTAATTTATGCTTCTGTATGCTCTTCTCAAGCATAATTGAATATTATATGTATTACTTTGAGTTTTTGACATTTTTGTTAATTTATAGTTGGTGCCAGCACAGAGGACCAGTGTGAACCTCAACCAATCCCAACACTTCTTGTTGGTTATGATAAAGACTGCCTGGCTGTCTCGCCCTTTGCTCTCAAACTTTGGGTAGGTTTCAGTTAATTTTTTATGTCAACAAATCACATTCTAAGAAACTAAATTTTAATAGATTTAAAGTTTTTTTATTGGAATTGATTCCTTTGTATAAATTTAATAATGTACATAGTGTTTGTGAATTTAGTTTGTTTGAACTACTATCTAAACAAACAGAAAGAGGATCTCCAAAAACATTGTGTATTACCCAATAAATCTTTTCTTTTGAACTCTTGTAGCACTGCCATGAGTTGGATAAGTTATTCATTGTAATAGCACTGTCTACTCTGTATAATAAAAGTTTATACTTGATTTTTTAAATCTTTTAACAGGATAAATTGTTATTGGAACCATTCTCTTTACCTCAAGACATTGCCTATGTAGTTGTTGCTCCAGACAATGATTTCATTTTAAGTCGAGTACGTTCTTTCTTCAAAGAATTAAGCAGTGTATACGAGTTGTGCCACTTAGGTCATCATTCTCCCATTACCAAAGTTTTGAGAGATGGTATCATGCGTGTTGGAAAGTCTGCAGCAAGAAAATTAGCTGATGAACCTGTAGATGAATGGTTTAACTTCATCAGCAATGGACCAGTGGCATCAAAATTGAAACTGTATGCTCAAGTTTGTCGGCATCATCTAGGTAATGATTACTGTTAGTTGAGACTAATGCTCAAGTGTGGCATTGAGCTGTGGAGATTGATCCTAAAAAGAATTGCTGTAAAATTATGCTATTTCAAAGTTAATGTATTCATTCATGTGTTATGAAGTTTTAATACATTTTTATGCAGTGAGCTAAGAATAACAGGCATATACTTTTATCACCAGAGTTGGCCCTGTAACATAAAGTCATTATATTTCTAGTACTAATTTTACTTGAACCAAGTTCAGTGTATGAAGTATGCACATGAGAAGTACTTGAGGATTCTAGATATTACAATCATTTTGTCCTGAAATCCTCACACGATGCAGCCAACTTGTGCAAAAATAGACTTTGTAGATTTTTCAACAGGTTGCTAACAGTATCAGAATAAGAAAACCATACTTGTACAAAAATATCTATATAATTTTAGTATCAGTAATTTGTGTTCATTTCACAGTTCTAATTGTTATTTGATGGTACTAAATAAACAATGTCCTATTGTTACAGCACAAACTGGTGAAAAGTATGTATCTGTCATTCTTACCAAACTGTGTAAAAATTAAAATAACTTGAAATATAGGAATGAATACATTTATTTTCAAGTTAGCATCTATTCATAACAATTCCCTATTGGAACCAATTGTCATAGCTTAACATCATTGATCATTTTATTTAAATTGTGTAGAGCTGTGGTAGATGTTGTAAAGAAAAAATGAAAAATTATATTTTGATATTAAACAGTTAGGCTACAAATTCTTTTCTCTGCATTATGATAGTAAATTGTGTAATAAATTTGTTTTTGGGATGGTTCGCAGCACCCTATCTTGCATCTCAGTCTCTGGACAAATCCCTGTTTTCCTGTCTTTCATCAGTGAGTTCCAAATTACAATCAGAAGCACCTCTACTGTCATCATTGCATATGGACAATCATCAGGAGAAGGAGCATACTTCTAAATTACATGATTCTGGTAATACTGTCTTTATGTTTTGCTTCACTCTAGCAAAATTCTGTCTCATGATTGATTGTTTTATGAGCTGGTCATCTATTTTAAGCCCCTCTGAAATCTTTAGCAACATTTTATAGTGTAAGTTGTTAAAGCTTTTTAACCCTCTCACTATGTGTCTACCTATGGTCGGGGTCGAAGGGCATGTCATCACGTTTGTAGACTCTCATTCAAAATTTTATTGAACCACTATTTTGTGAATGTATCAAAATAAGTTTGGTATCACATTGTAGATTATAATTCAAATTTCAGTATTATACATAAGTTAATTTCTTAATTTTAAAGTAAATATTCAAACAAAATTCCTAAATATCATGTGGTATGTTTAATACAGCTTTGATTCAAATTATATGTTTGTGATGTCCAAATACAAAGTCTGTAATTCATTATGAATTAGAAACTCAAATTACTGATATTGTCAAGCTACAATATAAAATAAGAATCTCTTATCTTTTCTATTTGCTGAGATATCGCCACGTTTAGTGAATCAAATACAGTAGCCCCGCCAACCTCTTCCATTTTTGGAAATACTTGCTCACATATACCCACTTTGCTCTATCATGTGTTTATAACCAATCAAAAGCTCAGAATTTCCCCACGTGATTTTCTCAACCTTTTGAAAGTGTGAATTTCCCATGATTATTTGTTTTGTCTTGAATCTCAGAAGGAAGGGGTAAGTGAAAATGTTTGAAAAACAATAATTTTTAGACTCAAATACAGTTTAGTTAGTAAGCCTGATACAATACAGTAGAATTCTGTGATATTCATAGATAAATTTATAATTTTTGTTATTTCAAAATGCATATATAAAACCTAAAAAGTTATTTTGTTTTACGTCCTCCACATGGGAAATTCTGCAAGGCTTAGCATGCAAAGTATGGCATGCCAAGTACAACAAGCAAGAACAAACTTTTTTGCATTTGTAAGTAGTAGAGATCATTGTTTTCTATATTTCTTTATTTACTATTATATGTTTTAAGAATATTTAAGAATTTATATGCAAATAGTAATAATATATATATATATATATACTGTGTTATTACCAAAACGTAATTGTATTTTATTAAATACTGGTCCACTAGAACAATGCCAAGACAGGTCACTTTCTAAAGGCCAGTTTTATATTATTGGTTATGATAATGTGACTGCATGTGCGCTTCGTAACTACAATTTCTGTAATGTTAGTCAGACAGCTGATAGGTCAATAATTTAAAGTATTAAATATATATAGTTGTATAATGTTATGAGATTTAAGCTGTTTAGACTAAACATTTTTGGTTTCGTGTTGTAATTTGTAGTCATTCTGGAAGAAAGAAAGTGCAATTATGTCTATATCCTAATTTTTTATGGTGCCCACAAAGGTGGTCAAATCTACCAAACCCATACAGATATACAATAGTGAAAATAACAGATAAAATACATAGTTTTTTCTGAACACAAACGTTTGATAATTATCCGGAGGTTATAAAGATTTTGCATGTGAAATTTGACAATTTTCTGATGCATAAAAGTATTTTTAATCTTAAAATCAAAATTACTTTGATTGTTGAATAGCCAACATTTGAAAAGAAAAAACGCATGAGGAAATCATTACTTAAAAAATCTTAAAACTTAATTAAAAAGTATATATATTTTGTATGCAAAAGCCTTGTAGTGTTTACTGATAATCTGCAAAATTTTGGGAAGATTCTCTTATTATGAAAACTACAAGGAGCACAACATGGTTACGAGGTCAGTCCCTGGGACCAAACCCATAGTGAGAAAGTTAATCAGAAAAAGCATTTCTTTCACTTAATTTTGATATCAGCACTCTACTATGGAACTTATGATCACAAGTGACAGGTCAGTGAAGCATTGAGAATTTGTAACAGAATTCTGTTGTGGGTGAGAAAGTTTAATTCATTTGCCAAGTAAAATAAGTGTGGAACATTTTTCCTTATCCCAGTTTATGGAGTGAAATAAACAAATTAATTTTTTTTCTGTATACTTTTCAGAAGTTATTAATTAGATACACAACTTATTCTTTGAATACCTAACAGATAGCCAGCAGGAGTTTGCTGCAAGTTCAGGAGGATATAATACTAACTCTTTATCTGAAACATGGGAACAAGACAATGGCCAACAACCTCCTGCCTTAGTAGTCTATATAATTGAGCCTTTTACGTATGGCGATCCTGACCGTGACTTGTATCGCTTGGCCACTCTTGGACTCTTGCTGTGCTACAATCAGATGTTGCGTTACCTTCCTGAACACATCCGTAACAGTATTCATGTTCAGGTGAGCTGGCCATTTGGGTTCTGATATTTCTTTAATATTCATGTGTTATATTGTCTTTTTGAACACAGATATATCAGAAAACAAAGTGTTGTGTGTTATCTTTGAAAATACTCTGTAACTAATTTACCTAACACAGAGTTTGTAGAGTTACATGTTTATTGTGTCTCTTTTTTTTAATGCCTTTCATACCCATATTCTTGTTTGTAAGGTGACTTAATGCAGTAGTTTTTGATATAGCATTTTTAACTTCTTCTATTTTAGTGTCAAAAAATAGTTTTTTATTTCTTAACCATATTTTTCTATAAGTTCATAAAAAAATTTCATTATAATAGTCTCTAATAAAAAAACAAATCCTGAAATATTAATGTGACATTTCAGATAATTCGTTTAGACTGTGTTCTTTCTATGGGGAAAGCTGAGAATTTCAGCCAATACCAAAATGAGCTCAAGGCATTAGCCTTTTCTGTGTTCAGCCAGTGTCGTCGATTGCTCAATCATCCATCAAGGATAAAGTCTTTAACAGGTTTTGGCCTTCTGCTGTTC